GAAAAATACAAAATTCGTCAATTTACGCTATTCCTTTATCTCTAATAGTTTCCAAGATAGACTAAATATAATTATTGCTTCCAACTTTGAGGGCGATTTTCACCCCTTCACTGTGAACGATTGCCGATATAAAAAATGTATGTGTCGAATACTTTTCTGGGAACTACTATATATCAACGATTATCACTTCGGAATGTTCCCTTGTCGGTAAAAAAATTCTCCGTACACTTCATTAAAATTTATTTTATATTGTATAATTTTAACGGAGGAAGTAGGAAATAAATAATATTTGTGTTACTTTATTTAGAAACATAACATTTACTATTAGTACAAAGAAAAATAATTTATATTAATTTGTTAATAATTGAACAAATAAATATAAACATAAACAGATATTTTCCATTATGGGAAAAATATTTTGAGTAACGTCTTTTCTACTTGCTTGCAAACAAGTAACAAACTTGTATTTGCTTTTGGAGCCTTGTTTGTAGACATGTTACTGAATTCTTAGATATTGTACGGAAATTTTTTTCATCTTATTTCTGTTACGTTATTCCTTTTCTTCAGTTTAATTGTTAACGAATAAATGTAAATCATTCTTCTTTGCACTAATAATAAACGTTTCTAAATAAAAGAACGTAAATATTATTTAATTACCACTTTCGCTGTTGAAATTATACAACGTTAAATAAATTTAGTGAGGTGTAACGAGACTTTTTGTTTCCTTTTAAATGCATAGGCATATGTAATTTTCATTTGTTTACGTTTTTTTAACCCAATGTTGCCAGTTCTGATCTTGATTTAAAAATCATAACTTAAAATTATAAATACTTAAGTGTATTAACATAAAAGGATCTCAGTGAAGTTCACAGTTTGCGTAGTATAGTTTCATAATTACAACATTGAATTGCAAGTTATACTCACCATTTTAAGTTAAACGTACACGAACCATAAATATAAAAAAAAATGTTTATCGATAATCGCATATGCTTATTAAAACTTTCAATTTTCCTAAGTACTTACTTGTTTTCACGCAGCCATTCTCTTAATATTACATTTTTTCAACACATACTGAACATACATATCGTTACAATAGCAGTTATATATCTTTAAATAATGTGCTTCAAGCAAATGAAATAAGAAAGGTGAATAAACAGCTTAACATACTTGACACTTTACTAAGACACTTTACGTTTACATGCGACGTCGTATTTGCGATTCGTTATTTCAACTAAAGAATACATTGTAAAGGAAGTTAAAACTTTCTCATAAAACAATTTTCCGAATCGTATGTCGAATGTGGTCTGTCTTCAGACGCTTTTATAAATAGCACAAGTTGCCAGAAGCAAACTAACGTTTACAGTTAAACTATCTTGACATCGGTCGATCGTTCTACTAATCTCTCTCTAAATGTTACTGCTTTGATTCCTTTTCCCCAATTTAAGTAAATACGAAATATAAATTTCATATCTTTTCTATTACTTTAACTACGTAACGGGTAATTAATAACTTGACAACATATCTAAAAGTCATCGAAATCGGCGAGGTGTGCCTCTTTGTAAATAATTACCTAGTAGCGCTGTGATTTCGTTTGTGCGTTGAAATTAAACGAAACCCTAATGAAACAAAAGACTGTTGAGAATAAAATTGTATCAGTCTCAAAGGTAAAAAAGTAAATAAATGTAATTTGAAGCTTTTATTTTACAGAAGCACCCAGAACAACACGTCTTATAATTCAAGGAAGTTTCCTGTTAAATTACTGTATTGTTCTGTATTAAAATGATAATTGATCTTCGTTAGTACAGGGTGTGAAAAAACTGAAGAGGAGCTGGACACTCCCCACTTTACGCGACTAGTGAAGTGCTGTGGCCTCCTTTTGCGAGGCGGTTATGTCGCAGCAAGGGGCCGCGGAGGGGGATCGTAAAATCCGTGATACCGCGAGGCGGGCAGAGGGCCCGCCCACCGGTTGGACAGCTCCTCCCGTCATGATAGCGGCGGTGATGCCGTGGGGGGTGTTGTAGATCCCAGGGAGCGTCCGCTCGCATCGGTGGAGGTAATACGGGTCTCTCCGCCCCCTATTATTGGTAGAAGGGGGGCCCGCAGGTGGCTGGATGGGAGCCCAGCAGCCATTGCATGTGGTCCGCGGGAAGGGGTGTTACTCCCTCGCTCTGTTGGAGTTGAGAGTCCAAGGGAGGGGCCGATTTGAATCCCCTCGGGTCAGAAGGGTACCCGGAAGTATTTGCAAAGGTACTTGGGACCCCCTCAAACGCGCCCGAGAAGAGTAGCCATGGGGGTTTTAGTGGGTAAGAATCCCAATATAATGTCATGTGACTTGAAAGTTACGCATTCATTTATCTATATTTTGTTTGTTTATTGCTATATTACTGCACTGTATTGTTGTACTATCACATTATTACCAGTAAATATTTTTGTAGTAGGTAATTATTACTTCTTACTTCTCCAAATAAAATGTACGCATATGTACATTATATATACGGAAATAACGTAGTGTTTCGCGTATGAGGCATTCTACGTCAAATTGCACAAATTGCGGTCATAGTCACCGTTTTTGTTTTTCAAACTCACAGGATTTCTTGATACCCTTCAGAAACGAAACGAAAGCTATGGACAATTAGACGAAATCAGCCAACATGTCAGCACTTAAACCGTAATATTTCGACTTCGTTTAAAAATAATGCATTCCTCTTAGGTTCACTTTTTTTTGAAAAATTTGTTCATCAGTTTCGCGGAAATATTAGGTACCCGTGCGTAAAAATTCGTGCGGATTTTTAAAGTAAAATTCAAATACTCTGATCTTTTTTAAAACGTAACTTCATTCGTTGAAATAATCGCCATTTAATTCGACGACCCTTTTCCATCCTTCTATAAGCTTATACATTCCTTTCTTATAAAATTCCTGACTTTTACTTTCAAAAAATGAATTAATCGCGGTTTTGACTTCAACATCATTTTTGAAATTTCTATTTGCAAGAAAGTACGACATGGGTAAAAACAGATGGTAATCACCGGGAGATAGGGACTGTAGAGGATGAGGTAAAACTTCCCATTTGACGTCCTTTAGTTTTTGACATTACATATATTCAACCAATTTTTCATCTTCGAGGACAGATGGACTGATGGACGTCCTAAACGTGGTTCGTCATCTAACGATTCATTTCATTCCTTGAACCGTTTAAATCATTTCTGTGCTGTCCTTTCGCTAACAGCACCTTCTCCACATACACCACAAACGTGTCTTGCTGCATTTCTTGCTCTCTCTATCCATGTTTAATGTCACAGAAACAACAAAATGTCGAAATAATTGAATACAGCAGTACTGTTGTACTTCCAACTTTAAATTCGTAATGTACAAAATGCACGAATTTTTAACCTCTCTCTATCCATGTTTAATGTCACAGAAACAACAAAATGTCGAAATAATTGAATACAGCAGTGCAATGTATACCAACTACAAAGATCAAACTTTCAACTGAAACCAATTTCATGCATTACATTTCTCAGTTAGTGCACGAAATTCGACTTGCTGTTATTACTAACGAATAAACCGCACGAACTTTTCCCGGTACCTAATACCTGCAAAATCGTAGCGACCGTTTCGCACATACGGGTTTGAGAAACAAATATAACTTCGTATACATTCAAAATTAAATTTTTTTTTCTAATCTTCATTAGGTAATACATAAAACATTAAAAGTAATATAATAATAGAAAAATTAAACAACAATATAAATAATTAAAAAATTAAGGAAAAATATAATGTAGAAACGGTTTATGGCACGATCGACCGGGAACGGTTATTTTTGAGTTCAGGATTTTCGTTTATTGCTTGCACGGGTCTCATTACCTCCTCCGAGGGTCACTAGAATTGCTTTGGTAGATTTTTAGTAATTTGTGTCCCTCGCGCTCAATAGCCTACGAACATACCATAAACCACGAATTTCCGAACGGCACATCTGTATGTAACGGTCCGCTTGCCGATTAGTCACCCGGAGGAAATTCCAGATTTTTGGGACCTTCCGCCCACCCCTCGCGACCGTCTCCCACCCTTCCAAGGTGACAGCGCGCTAAGGGCGCACTGGAAGGGCGGTAAAGGCGATATTAGACACGCTAATTGGCAAAGGCAATCGTTAACCATTAACCAATCAGCGTGTTCCAACAAAAATCCCTCTCACGGACGTCCGAGACACGACGTCGGAGAGTGGAGTCGTCGAGTAGTCGTTCAACCATCACGAACAAGGAGAACCAAGGAGCAACCAGTTCACATCACGCGATACCATAGATTTTACAAGTCCCAATCATTTGGGTGGTCCTTCGAACCAGTATCTAGACGGCACAACATCGTGCAAACATCCATAAAACTCGAAAGTTCATCACCACAACCACGGGCATTAACAGGTTGTATAACCTTTGAGAGAATCTCCTATACGATAGTGGATCGATTTAACATTAGCTTCTCTATACAACAGAATGATTGGATATTTGCTTTGTTCAAGAAAATATTTAAGAATTTGTTCTAGTTGAGCGATACGATAATTTTTTGGCTAGGTAGAATGAGATAAATCCATTGCAGGTATATTTTACCATTAAATTCCGAGGGCGTACAAAACAACGAGTATGATCAAACTTGAAGAAAAAGCATACGAATGACTTTTTACTAAAACTTCGAGAAAAATAGATAATTTTTGTGTTATCACACTTATTTATGCTAAAATTTGATGCATCTTGTTTCGACAGACACCGCACAATGTTATACGATGAAATGTTTGTACCATTACATGCGTAAAGACATTTCTTCAATTTAGATGTATCGTAGGTGCTATGTGATATAGAAGTTCTAAGCATAATTCAGGAAAGTGGTGATTGTGATATCGATCGATGCCAAAGTCGTTGCAAAAATTTTGTAGAACAAATTAATGTAGAAAGAGAAAGTTTGAAACTTCAGTTAGTACGATCAACGACACGTTTCTATAGTAATGTACCTGCAGAACCATAGTGCTGACAACAGTACCAGCGACAGGTACCAGATTCAATTCTAGCCACTCTTCGCCTGCTCTTAGACAGCCTCTTTCATATATACTCCTCTCTCCAGTCTGCATTCCATTCAGGTAAACAAAAATGATTGAAAAACCCGCTACAAAAGTTCTTGCCTCAAGGATTTCGAATTATGCTGTCGTGCCTGCAGTGTGGCGATAACGCGGACAAATATATGTATATCTGTATCTTACTTTTACTTCAGCCGGGTTACAAACAAGTGTTTTATCCTTTTTACTTTTCCTTTTAGATAAAATCTTTCCCGCACTGTGTGTTCGTTGGATTACTTCCTTTTCATCTGTTAAATACCAGTAACGGTCGCCAAACAAAAAAAAAAAAAAAACTTAAAATTACAGACTATAAATGGTGAACATGCAATAACTGAACATTTAATTGAAATGAATATTTCGAGCTACATAGATTTAAAATGTGAATTGACGCAACGACATTTTTTCGCACTTCTTCCAGAACGAAAAAGATTTTCTTTCGTTCATTATACTCGTATACATAAACTACATATTAGATCATCCTGAAAGTTCTCGCGATTTTAAATTGTTCAAATTGAAAAAACGTAACTCCACTGAAATTGAACATTTTTATTTCAAATAATTTTCACAACATTCGATACACTTTTGCCAACGAATTACAAGAGTGTTAATTCCACGTACATCAAAATCCGAATCTTTAAGAGAAAGAAAGACGCAAATGAATCTCCGTAATCCAATTTGGTGGTCTACTTCGAAATTAGTTCGCTACAGTTTCCCAAGACCGGGTGCCACTATCATTGCAGAGTCGTGCACTAACGTATTGGAGGTCGTCCACCCAAAACTGAAGGTACAGCAACCAGTCCTGGTCAACAGGAAAGACCCTATCCTTTTGTACTGTTATACCACAGCCGAGCAGGGACTTCAAAAACTCAACACTCGTTTCACAAAATAACTCTTTTATTACTATGATACAGGTATACGTTTCAGAGGCGACTCGCGGAGTTTGATGTTTTGGGTCTTAATGCACTAAAGTCTGTACTTCCGGGAAAACCGATGCGCGGCGTGAAAATGTCTCTCTCTTTATTATGTGAGGTGTGGTGGACATTCCTACAGGAGGGAGGTTTGTGTCAGGGTTCGAGGATGAGTAAAGGATCGGAGTTCGAGGATGAATCAAGGATCGGCGTTCGAGGATGAGTAAAAGATCGGAGTTCGAGGATGAGTCAAAGGGAAAGTATGATTGGGTGACAAATAAGATAGGAGTTCGAGGATGAATCAAGGATCGGCGTTCGAGGATAAGTAAAAGATCGGAGTTCGAGGATGAGTCAAAGGGAAAGTATGATTGGGTGACAAATAAGATAGGAAAAGGAATGCGACAGATGAGAAGGAAGAAAGTCTATTGGAGTAGGCGTCATTATTGTCTTAGGATGTTTATCCTAACAGTACAACGCCAAAGCATGCAGAAAGCACAACTGTACCAAAATTGCATCAACTGCGTGATTTATCACCAACCGATTTTCACTTTTTCCGCCCATTTGACAATTTCCATACGCAGAAACGATTTAGGAAACAGGAGAATATTGAATATTCTTTCACTTAGAGATTCAGGTTTTTATGTACGCGGGATTGATGCTCTTGTAAACGTTGACAAAAGTGTATCGAATATTAGGGGCATTATTTTAAATAAAAATGTTCAATTTCAATGGAGTTGTTTTTTTTTTTTTCAAAGTGAATAGCTTAAAACCGCGGTAACTTTCAGGATGACTTAATATATGCCTTACTTTGAAATATGTCCGCATTTTTCAATTTCCATTATACTTTTTCATGTTGTGACAAACACTACGGAAATACGACAACACAAGGAGACATCAAATAGTGATAACCTCTTGATCAAATTTCAATTTGTATGGGCAAATTATCCGATAAGACTGTACGTTTTATTATAAATTCATTACAGGGACAAGGAGTAAAATACACTAAAAATTTATATCCCCACCTTCGATACCAAGTTTCTAAAATTTTTCACCTTTATCGTCTTTACGTCGGTAAATTTTATTTCACAAACGATCTAGCTGTGAGAAATATCTGTTGTCAGTACTCTTATCTTGAATAAAACTTTCTGGCAGAACATGATAGTCATCTTTAACTAATGCTTAAACCCTTGATTCGTTGCCTCGAAAAGAAACGAAATTGAGTGAATCGAAAGTGAATATATACTGAATGTCTCACGCAACTGGGACATATTGTGCCCTTTAAAATGGTTAGGGATGGAAAAAAAAATACTATAGGACAAAATTAAACGATGTCAAGTGGTGTATATTCTAGAATTATGTATACGCATTTTTCTGCATCGGTGAATCAACGGGAAACGTATATTTTTGAATACTCTAGCCAATGTAACTTTTCAGTGTACTTAGGCTTTAAAACTATTATTTCAAAAGTCATTGCAGTCTGAAATTTGCTGCATTATCTCAGAGTATTAGCAGACGTCATTGCATATTTACGTTATAACAAATGCTCAAATGGTCCTTCGTTGCACTTGTTACGGATCGCAATATGGTCGTCGCGAGACCGACGTTGTCCCTCTTTTTGAATTGAAAAGAAATTCCACTCGAGCAATTTACTCGGGATACGGAACTTAGATAGTGCGCCGGAAACGTTGAGAAATAATGCACGAGAGAGTTAACTATTTTAATATTTTGTAAATTTTATTAACCCTCATCCATCCCTCGTGTCAATTTGACACGCTTTTCCGGTAAAAAATTGTATTATTCGGCTATTTGTAGAAAAAGTTTTTTGTTTATTTTCCATATTTAATAAAAGAATTTACAAAATTAATTATTTATCTTTTCGTTTAATTGATTTTTTACCATTGTGTCAAATTAACACCGAGGGACCTATTAAGATGCGAAACTGAGGGACGGATGAGGGTTAATGTATGACTGCGCGAGAATGTAACGGTGTTCACTGTTCCAAAGTTGAAAAACTGTCTTTTATTAACTATTGCTATTTTGCTATTGGTGTGAGAATGTATGTGGAGGTGGATATGTGTTTTCCTGATTGGTGTAGCTATTTGTTATGGGTGTGGTTTGTGAGGTGATAGAGAGAGAAGTTTGGGTCTTTTTTAAGTTACAAATTGTCCAAGGATTCCTGGAAATGGATTGCCGGGACAAATGTTAAAAAATAATATTTGCAATTGCTCGCCCATGCGGTGACCGGTTGTCCAGAAATCCTAGACTAGGAATATTGTTTTATGGGGGGTTGCACTCGGGTACGAACTTTCGCCGGTTTCTTTTATTGCGCTAAGGGGTTCACCGGTACTCGAGCGATGCTGTTACGCATGTGACACTCCAAACACTTATTCATTTGTATACGTTGCTTAATACATGAGTTATGTCTCTTTCCGTAATTTTGGATATTTCTAGCAAAATACATGCTTGGATGTCTTGAGTACTGTGGGAGTAGAGTGAGAGCGAGGGTGAAGGAGAGAGAGAGAGTGCCGCATTGGTTGTTTGTGTGTGGAATTGACGCTGGGTTGCAGTCTTGATTCGCGATAGTTTCGTTGTGGACATAGGCAACAGGCTGATCCCTTGGTTTACCTATTCGACCACTGACTTAGTGAACTATTGGCAAACGTACGTATGTACGCGCGTGTGTGTGCGTGCGTGGACAAATGAATAATGGACATCTGATGAACGATCGACAAGGAGAGTTACCCTCTCCTCGTTGTGGAAACGGTCGAGTTGGAAGAAACAAGCGGGAAAAAGGGCAGAGCGGGGAAGAGAATGAAGCAGCGTGGATCTTTGGTGTAGCGTGTTAGAATTAATCTCGAAATAAATTGAATAGAGTTGTTTGCTTACACGCTGCAACGCCACCCCCAATTCCCATACTACAGTACTGATAATAGATCCAGAATACACTTTGTCTTTTAAGTATCCACATAATCGTATCCTCATAAATCGAGCGGTGTTAAGTCTGGTGATCGCGGTGGCCACAGGATTGGACCTCAGAAAGTTAATAAGTTAATTTGATAAGTTTCTGCATTTTTACAATCCGGTAAACAGAAAATTTTGAAACACCGCATTCTTTGGAAATATGTATCTCGAACGAACGCATGAAGATTATTTTTTATATACGCCAGCACTGGTACAACACATTCTTCATTTTGTAAAATTGGTTTTGATACATCCTTCTTTGAGTTATAAAACGAGCCATTTTCGCGTAAATTAAATTCTAATTTATGAAAGTAGATACCTACGCATTGGTTGTTTTCGGTCGGGATATGTTTTTCTACGCAGTCTTGCAGTGTCAGAAGCATTCTGATTGCATTTAATAAACATGATGAACATATCCACTTTTTCACTATTTGCAAATGCCTTGATTTTCTACTAAGGTAAAAGTATCAGTAGTTCACCATGTACCAGTAGTTGACCAATTTTTAGAGAAACGTAAAAAATAAGGTTTTTATAAGTGATACTCTTTTGAAAAAAATGCACCTGACATGCCAAAACATCTATCGGTTAAATTTCAAAACAATTACATGTGAAATGAAGTATGCGTAGTAACAACGGACGTCTAAATTCATTAAGGTAAGTAATATGCCTCCATATTGCTATTTCCTTAACGTTTCTGTTAAGAACAGCTGTACGGTTCAGGTGAACAAATCCATACGTTGCGAACTCTTCGCGACTGAATTATTTACTTGTTAAATTCTCACAGCGTTTCCTAAGTGATAAATGCAACGTTTTTGTTATTCTAACAACAAAAAGCAATAGTTTATTGGGAGGTCAAATTCTGAATCTTGTTATTCTAATAGTTTTTAGAAGTTGACAGGCGTGGTCAATTACTGACGTAAGTTATTTAAATTTGTTTACGATTTATAATGTATTTGTTAGAAGTACAAAATATAGTTCTAAATTTTGAATGACTGCATGGTCAACTATTGACTGATCCACGGTCAATTATTGACTCTGTCCAGTGTCCACTTTTTTAAAATAACCATGTGCGGATATTATAAACACCACCGGAAAATTAAAATGCATTTACTTAATTATTTATTTTAGAAATTTACATGGAAATGTGCGGGCGATTATGGAAGTGGCCAGAGAAGCCTGATGTGCTGGACTATGAGTGGAAGGCTGTAGTTTCTCATATCA